CTATAAAGGCAAAAACTTGAAAACTTTATTTTTAGGATAGATTCCTAGTAGTAGACTTATGGGTCAAAGGGTTCATACATTCTTTTGTTTTTTTAATCCTCACCGAGGTTGTGTTTTTTTTTATTGATTTTAGACAGAGAAAGGGAGCGAGAGACAGAAACTTCAATCTGTTGCCTCCCACATGCACCCAAATTGGGGAGCAAACCTGCCACCTGGGTATGTGCCCTGACTGACAATAGAAGCCACCACCTTTTGGTGTATGGGACACTCCAACCAACTGAGCCACACCTGCCAGGGAGCTCACATTTTTTTTTTTTTTAAATAAGATTTTATTGACTTTTTAGAGAGAGAGGAAAGGAGAAGGAGAGAAAAATGGAAACATTAATGACAAAGAAACATCAACATCAATCAGTTGCCTCCTGCAGACCCACTGCTGGGGACTGAGCCGGAAACCTGGGCAAGTGCCCTGATTGGGAATCAAACTGGTCACATCTTGGGGCATGGATCTGATGCTCAGCCACTGAGGCACACCTGCCAGCTGCTCACACATTCATAATACTAACTTTTTATTTTGAAGAAATTTCAAATAGAGTTAAGTTGTAAGAATAGTACAGTGGATCCAGATCGAAGATGGCAGTGGACTGAGTGGAAGCTACACTGACACTCTCCTGAGGCCAAACTGGAATTAAAATTAAAATATAGAAAAACCATCCTGAAAAACAATTGAAGACCAACTGGAGAGCACCCTCATAACCAAGGAGGAAAAGTGGTGACCACATATAGACTGGTAGGAAGTGCAGAGGTGTAAGAGAACTGGCTGGGCTCCAACAGGCAGCAGCTGAAGGTCCCAAGGGGTATCTCAACTGTGGGGGGTTCCCACTGAGGATTCTGGGGCCTAAACCCCAGGCTGGGCTTCCCAGCCAAGAGCATCAGAACTGAGAAAGGTGCCCACAAAACATCTGGCTGTGAAAATCAGCCGGGTTTCTGCCTGCCAAGCAGAGATAGCTGGAAATGCAGGCACCCTCTTAAAGAGCCAACATATAAAGTATGGTGTGCAGCCACCCAGCTTGGGCTCCAGCAGAGGGAGGGCAGAGTGGATTGGAGCTCTGTGGACAGAGCCTAGGGTTGTGGGCTCTGGAGAGTGAGATCAAAGGGCACCCATCTGGACTTGTGCTGAGTCATTCCCCCATACTGCAGAGGATGACTTTCTCAGGCAGACAATTGGCAGCTTTTGCCTGAGGGGGAAGCAGTTGCCCCTCCCTCTGGAAAACCTCTTGCCCTACCCAGAGGAGTTTCTACAGCCTGAGGCTTGTTAAGAGACTGATAACAAACCAGCCACCCCACCATGTGGAGTTTCTACAGCCTGAAGCTCATTAAGAGAATCACATTAATCAGCCTGCAAAAAGAGGCACACCTCCGAGTGCTTTGAGTCCGCCTGATCTGCTTCTGGACCGCCGCCTTGGAAACACAGACTTTGGTGTGTATGTTAGTCCTGTCCAAATGCACCCAGCCCCAGCAGAGGAGACCTCAAGCCAAGGGTTGTTAATAGCTCCAAACAGGTTACTCAGGGCCAGTCACAAACTGCATCTGACCAGAGAACCAGAGAACCTCCAAAAAGACTGAGAGTCTTAGCAGATCTACCTAATACATAGAAACAAACCCAAACAGGCAGCCAAAATGGAGAGACCAAGAAACAAGCCCCAAATGAAAGAACAAGAGAAGTCTCCAGAAAAAGAGCTAAATGAAATGGAGATAAGCAATCTCTCAAATATAGAGTTCAGAATACTGATTGTAAGGATGCTCAAAATCAAGAAAAAAGATATGGCAATGATGAATGAAATTAATAATGACATAGCAGAAATAAAGAATACATTGGAGGGAATAACAGCAGATTAGAGGAAGCTGAGCCTCGGATCAGTGAATTAGAAGACAGGGTAGAAAAAAACCGTTTTTCCAAAAAAAAAAAAATTTAAAAAAAGGAGGACAGTCTAAGGGGACTGTGGGACAACATGAAAAGTAACAATACTCACATTATAGGAGTGCCAGAGGAGGTTGAAAGTAAGCAAGGGTTAGAGAACCTGTTTGAAGAAATAATGGCAAAAACTTCCCTAACCTGGTCAAGGAAAAAGTCACACAAGTTCAGGAGGCACAGAGAGTCCTAAGCAAGAAGAATCCAAAGAGGCCCATGCCCAGACACATCATAATTAAAGACAAAGAGAATCTTAAAGGAAGCTAGAGAAAAGAATCTGTTACCTACAAAGGAGCCCCAATAAGGCTGTCAGCTGACTTCTCATCAGAAACTCTACCGGCCAAAAGGGAATGGCATGAAGAATTCAAGGTAATGCAAAACAAGGATCTGAAACCAAGACTACCCTATCCAGCAAGATTATCATTCAAGATAGATGATGAAGTAAAGAGCTTCCCAGACATAAAAAGGCTAAAGGAGTTTATCACCTTCAAACCACATTACAGGAAATGTTAAAGAAACTGCTGTAGCCCTGCTGGTGTGGCTCATTGATTGAGTATCTACCTATGAACCAGGAGGTCTCGGTTCAATTCTCTGTCAGGGCACATGCCCCAGTTGTGGGCTCAATCCCCAGTAGAGTGCATGCAGGAAGCAGCTAATCAATGACTCTCCCTCATCATTGATGTTTCTATCTCTCTCTCCTTTCCTCTCACTGACATCAATAAAGGATATTAAAAAAAGAAAGAAACTGCTGTAATTAGTAGACATAGAGAGAGAGAGAAACATAGGTATAAAGAATTAAAAATGGCAATAGATAAGTATCTATCAATAATAACCTTAAATGTAAATAAATTAAATGCCCCAATAAAGAGATATAGTGTGGCTGAATGGATAAGAAAACATGACCCAAATATATGCTGTCTACAAGAGACCCACCTCAGAACAAAAGACACACAGGATGAGAGTGAAGGGATGGAAAAAAGTTTCCATGCAAATGCAAATAAAAAAAAGCTGGGGTAACAATACTCATATCAAAAAAATAGACTTCAAAATGAAGACCATAACGAGACAAGAAAGGTCATTATGTAGCACTAAACTGATCAATCCAACAGGAGGATATAACAGTGATAAATATATATGCACCCAATATAGGAGCACCTAAATTTATATATAAAAAAAAAAAGTTCTAGAGAACTTTA